CTTCAAAGGGGTCACCAAAAGCAAAGAAACTCATTTTAACAATATTTGCAACGGAGCTTTGTCCTCTTTAAGGCTAAAGCACCTCCCAGGACACGCGTCTCTCCATGGGTTCTTGTGCCGTCGCGTGCGGTGTAGTGTCCACGGTCAATGTCCGATACTGTTTTGGTCGCACTGACTCTTTCTGGTGACGTACGCTGAGCTTGTTCGATCCTTCGTGTGGAATTAAGTGCGTGGGCGACTCAATCACCTTCTGCAGGCCGAGTAACTGAAGGTGGAGAGAAAAACTAGTCCTCCGTCCTTTTCATCTGCGCATTTTCGGCCACATTAGCTTGCCACCTCAGGTTCTGGGTGGACGTTTGACTAATCGCTACAAACGAGCTATGCAACATCCTTCAGTTTGGAAGGCACCCTTCAGGTGCCTTCCCAAGTGACACAAACTCCACGCGTCCTGCTGAACGAAGGACCGACGAACTTTCCTGCCACCAGACCACCGACCGTCTCTTTGCAGATGACCGCTGTCCGCATGATCATGGCGGCGCTGCTGCTGACCGTCACCTGTCGTTACGTGACGCTGGGTCAGCCCAACTACGGCATGTTGGACCAGGGGCAACGGCGCATGTGTGGATCGCAGCTGATCGACGCGCTCATGTTGGTGTGTGCCTCCAGAGGCATCGCTGGGCCAGAGGACAAGCGTTCCGCGCCAGGTAACAGTTTTAATGTGATCGGCGGGCAAAATAGGTGCCAGCGGTGCCATCGCACGTCCAGATCATTTGCATGATTGCATTGTGCGCGTGGGACGATGGTGACGCTGACAACAGCGGTTTAACGGGATACACGTTATCCTGATTATGACCACTCAGCCACCCTTCAAGATCACATCGACGGCATACGTTTTACTGTTTTCAATTGTCTGGTGAATGAGACAATTTGTTTAACTACTTTCTCGTTTTTAACTTGAAAGGCATGATTAACAATGCAAATTTTGAAGTACATAACCACATCTTAGAGAAACCTGAAAGTCATTCAACTGGATAACTTCTGTTCTTGTCCGACAGCGACATTGATGTCTGACCGGTGGTCGGCCACGTCGGCTGATCTCTCACCCTGGTCGGCCTCGGGCCTGACCTCCGAGCTCCGGCGACAGCGGCTGCTGCAGTCGCTCTTCACCCCTCGCTCCCAGGACCGACGGCCGCTCGGTCAGCAGCTGTCCTCCTCGAAGGGAGGACGAGTGAAGCGCAACATTGTCGAGGAGTGTTGCAAGAGTCCCTGCTCCTACGACGTACTGGAGAGCTACTGTTACTAAATGAATGCAGCTGGCCTTGAAATCCTCGAATGTGATAGGACCTGACTGTCCACCGTAGACTGCGTCAGCTATTAGGAAACCAATCAGGAGCCTGCACGAGGCAAGAACAGCTAACCCGCCTCCCCTCAGGAAAGATGCTGGGGACACTGAGCCCTCCTCTGCACCACACGGCTTTTGTGTTGTCCGTCGCGTTAAGCTCCGGACGACGTCAGGCTTAGATGACATATGTTTTTGCTATACGGTATGACGTATAACGCTATACCGTAACGCCCTCTAAGAATACTGCCGTTGGTATGTCGAAATGTGACCGTTGTCGTCGGTAAGAGCTATAGGCCTGTCTGCTTCATCTGTGATCAATTCTGCTGTGCGGTGCGGATAAATATACATGTCTGCACGAAAAGGCGTGGCAGGTTTTGTAAATCGATAACTTCTACGAGTTTTGTCAAGTTTCCAACAAGTGTTGCAGCCCCGCTGTACGGTGTATGAGCACACTGTGATAACGCTTACGAATAAATGTTGAAGAAGCAAACTCTGGTGTTGGCGGAATGCTTGAGAGATGATGAGAGAGAGAATCCATTGATGAACTCCGCGCACATCCTTCATAACTGCGGCCATTCGACGCCTCACCCAGAACAGCAGGTACGTTGACAATAGCGAGAAAGAATGATACGAATAGAACTGATTAATAAATCAATCTGGAGCTAATTTAATCAAAATAATTGGGATGGGATCATGAAAAGGGATGGAACCTAAGAATGGCCCAAGAGAGGTTGCTCCAACTGTTTGCTTCAGCTGGGGCGAGAGGCATAGCTTGGAAACCTTGGCACTGAGTTAGGTGCAGCGGATTGCACAAACTGGGGATGAGCTAGAATCCGAGGGCGGCATTCCCTGCCTTAGGGCTGTCGGTCGCCGGCTCACCTCTCTCACTGGGGCTGGCCTGAAATGACCAGAGGTAAAAAGCTAACTCTATCAAAATAATGAATAGAATTAATAGATAGAATAATGTATTTTTTCGTGTTGGCCGAATGGTTGAGACAGGCACTTTCATTGACCAATTGGGGACACATTTTTTTGCAAACGCCGGGTGCAAATTTATCGCTCACATCCTTCTAACTTTCTATTTGGTCGAGTGCCAGGAGATGCATTGCTTGACCGTTTGAAGGTCGTTTGAAGGACCGCTGTTTGACCCGACCCGCTGGTTACCAGCGGCTCCGACCGCCGTCGCCTGCTGGTCAGAAGACGGGTGCATGATTCTCAGTGAGACGCTTCTGCGCGTGCCTGTTTCGGGTGTACAATTTTTTAATGACATGGGTCCATCACGAGCCTTGTGTTATTAAAGGAAATGAGCCGACGGAAAACGACAAGGAGACTTTTCACCAGAGCGAGCGAGAAATACCGATTCCCAGAACAGCATTTTGTCGCCCACACGACTAAAAGCATACGGTTGGGAGCGCTTTTGGGTTCACGCTTCGTCTGTGCTTAGACAGAAGTGATTCAGAAGCCGCCGCCAACGGTGAATCGTGGGTTCAGCCAACGCGAGGCGACTGCCAAAAAGCGCACACAGAAATAAACGAGAACGACAATGAACACAAAAACGACTGGCAAACCATGCAGCGTTGCGCGTGGTAGGTACGGCAATGGATACTCGCTGACATCAGGTGACGTCATAAAGTGCTGGCACCTAACAATGGCCCCCCGAGATGTGGCTC